GGGATAAGAAGAAAATTCACTGTTACAAGTGCAAGGAGGCGGGACATATGAAGAGAGACTGATTGAAGTTGAAAAAAACAGACTGATGAGAAGCGTGATGACTCATCCATATCTGTGAATGGGGTCGAGGATGACAATTCTGATTGCAGCGATGGTGATATACTCTCTATTTCAATTAATCAATAGACAAATGTTTGAATTCTTGATTCTAGATGTTCTTATCACATCACGCCAAATAGGGAATAGTTTTCGACATACAGTTCGGTTAATTCTGGTTCTGTCTATTTGGGTGATGATCGATGTTGCAATATTGTTGGTATTGGTGATGTTAGAATTAAGATGTATGATGGTTCTGTTAGGACGTTGTGTGGTGTTCGTCATATCCCAGATTTGAAGAAGAATTTGATTTCTCTGGGCACTTTGTACAAGACTGGTTTTATCCCTAAGACTGATGAGGATAGGGAAACCATTCGGATTGTTAAAGGAGCTTTGACTGTGATGAAAGGAAAGATGACTGCAGGGAATATTTACAGATTGTTAGGGAGTACCGTTGTAGGTGGAGTTCATTCTGTTGAGTCCTGTGATAATACTACAAAACTGTGGGATATGCGTCTTGCTCATATTAGTGAACGTGGTATGGTTGAATTACATAAAAGAAATATGTTGCATGGTGTTAAAAGTTGTAAGCTCGATTTTTGCAAGTATTGTGTTCTTGGTAAACAGACTAAAGTTCGTTTCAAGACTGGGAAGCACACAACTGAAGGGATTCTTGATTATGTGCATTCTGATGTATGGGGGCCTTCCACAACATCGTCTTTGGGTGGATCTAGGTATTATGTTACTTTTATTGACGATTTTTCACGGAAAGTTTGGGTATATTTTTAAAACAGAAGTCTGACATTCTTGAGAAGTTTAAGTTGTGGAAAGTTGAGGTGGAAAACCAAACAGGACGAAAAATCAAGTGTTTGCGGTCTGAAAATGGTACGGAGTACACAGATTCACAGTTTCTAAACTACTGTAAGAAGCATGGGATTAAGAGGCATTTTACAGTGTGCAAGACACCACAACAAAATGGTACTGCGGAACGGATGAACAGGTCATTGAATGAAAGAGCCAAATGTTTATGGTTGAATGTGGGGCTTCCCAAACACTTCTGGGCTAAGGCTGTTAACATGGCATGTTATCTTATCAATAGATCACCAAGGGCATCATTGGCTGGGAAAGTTGCAGAAGAGGTATGGACTGGTCATGATATTACTTTTGATCACTTACGGATTTTTTGTTGTCCTGCTTATGTGCATGTACCTGCTGATGAGAGATCCAAACTTGATGCAAAATTGAATGAGTGCATTTTTCTGGGATCCAGCTGCGAAGAAAATTGTGATCAGTAGAGATGTTTTTTATGAACAGTCCATGTTACAGCAGAAGAAAAACACGACAGTGGTAGATTTCGAGCAGTTTCCAGTTGAGAAAATAGAAACTTCTCAACTGACTTCTGGTGGTTCCGCTATGGATGATTTGCAGGATTATAGTCTCGCCAGAGAAAGGGTGAGACGGATGAATATAAAGCCTCCGAACAGATTGGGTTTTGAAGACTTGGTATCTTTTGCACTTACTGTTAGCAGTGATGATCAGGTTACTTTTCATGATGTTGTTACTAGTCAGGAAAACGACAAGTGGATGGATGCCATGGTTGAGGAGATGGAGACTTTGAATCACAATCGTACATGGGAGTTAGTTCGCCTTCATGAGGGTAAGAAGTTGATTCGTTGCAAATGGGTGTATAAGAAGAAACCGACAGTAACATAAAAAGAGTGGGAGAAGTTCAAGGCTCGTTTGGTAGCAAAGGGTTTTTCACAGCAAAAAAGGGTTGATTATGATGAAATTTTTTCTCCTGTGGTCAGGCACACTTCAATCCGAGCAGTACTTGCATTAGTGGCTAGTTGGGATTTGCATTTAAAGCTTATGGATATTAAAACTGCTTTTTTGCATGGTTATTTAGAGGAGCATATCTACATGCAACAGCCTAAAGGTTTCACTCAACCTGGAAACGAGCATTTAGTTTGCAGATTGAAGAAATCTTTGTACGGGTTGAAACAGTCTCTGAGACAGTGGTACAAACGGTTTGACTCCTACATGATCAAGATTGGCTACAAGCGATGTGAGTATGATTGTTGTGTCTATGTTAGGAGGCTTGATGATGGTTCTTTTATTTTTCTGTTACTGTATGTTGATGATATGTTAATTGATGTGAAGAACATGGATGATGTTACCGGTTTGAAAACTTTATTGAGTCAGGAATTTGATATGAAAGATTTAGGTGCTGCAAAGAAAATTCTTGGAATGGAAATTTACAGGGACAAAGACTCAAGGAAACTGTGGTTATGTCAACGGGGTTATGTTGAGAAAATGCTAGAAATGTTTGCAATGAGCAGCGCAAAACCAGTAAGCACTCCATTGGCGAATAACTTTAAGCTCTCATTAGAATAGTGCCCTAAGACAAATAAAGAAGCTGAAGATATGGCAAAGTTTTTGTATTCTAATGTTGTTGGATGCTTGATGTATGCAATGGTATGTACTCGTCCTGATTTAGCTCATTGTTGTTAGTCAAGTTTGTAAGTACATGTCTAAACCTGGTAAGAAACATGGGGAAGCAGTCAAGTGGATATTTCGGTACTTAAAGGGTACTGTGGGACATGGAATTGTTTTTGGTAATCAGCGGGATAATCCTTTGGTTGTAGGATATGTGGATTCAGACTATGCAGGTGACTTGAATAATAGAAGATCTACGACAGGGTATGTCTTTACTCTTGGTGGAGGGCCTATTTGTTGGAAGTCTACTGTTCAATCTATTGTGGCATTATCTACAACTGAAGCTGAATACATGGTAGCGGCTGAAGCTACAAAAGAAGCTTTATGGCTTACTAGTTTAGTGAAGGAGTTGGGTGTTCAGCAAGGTGGAGTTCAGTTGCTTTGCGACAATCAAAGTAATATTCACTTGGCTAAGAATCATGTACATAGTGCTAGAACTAAGCATATTGGTGTAAGGTTTCACAAGATCAGAGAGTTGGTTGCATCTGGAGAGATTTTGTTTCAGAAGGTACATACTGGTGAGAATACCGCTGATATGTTCACCAAGCTAGTTATGACAGACAAGTTCATGCATTGCTTGGACTTGTTGAGTGTTTCGAGTTATTAAAGAAGTAAGATAACCCAACCCACATTGAATGTTTCCTAAGGGGCAGGATATTCGCCAAGGTGAAGATTTGTTAGGTATGGCTCATAAATATACCGAGAAATTCTCGTAGTGGGGGTTACGATTATGTGGGTTGTGAGTGAAGGGGTTACGACCCCGCGGTATGGTACAGGGTTATTATTGTAAATATGTACCAAGGTTTATTTATTATAAAATGAGATGTAACCTAAACCTATGAGATATTGAATTGAATAAAAATTCTAGCGTCGCCTAAGGCATCGAGGACGTAAGCACATTGTTGAACCTCGTTAAAATTCTTGTCTTCTTTCTATTTTCTTTACTCGATTCTTCAACATAACTTGTGGACTAGGACAAGGTCCAAATGCGCTTTGTGTGTTACTTTGATTGTTATAGGCTGCGTATTCCTTACTGCTACAATTGATAGGTCTTGTATATGTTGTTGCATTGATTTCCCTAATGCGCTTGAGTTTAGGTATGATTGAGGGTCGATTTTTTATTAGCGGAGACGGATGTAGAAATTTATGTAGGGATGCAAACTTACGAAGTTATATTAGAGGGAACCAATTTCCAGTAGCTATGATGGCTCAAGAGGGCTTAGTTGGGGATGGTGTCAAAAATCTGGATGGTTTAGTTATCTATAATTTAGTTATCTACAATCTAGTTATGTTATTTTTTTATTTACTTAGTATTCTCTTCTTCAAATAAAAATAGTGGATGGTTTTATCTACTTTTATAACATGTTATATGTGTGTTCTTGCATAATCATCTTCTTCTTTTTCCTACTCAAGATTGAATTTGACGTCGTTACTTCAGATCCAATATTTATTTATTATCATGTTGACCTATCTCGGTTTTGATATTAATATACACTCAAAATCATCGTAAATGACTCGCGATTAAGTTTTAATAATGTCATATTATCATTGAGCCATTATAGTTATATTTATTTTTATGTTACTATTGATATTTGTCCATTTATATTCGCAGTAATTGTTATTATTTTGTTTAGTATTTTTTTAATAATGTATGGTGATTACAAAACAATATTTATTTCGAACTTTTTTTGTTTATTGACAACACATATATCCAATAGGCATAACTCCTCGAATTAGGATATCTAAATAGAACAATATTTCCTTATATCACTAAGGTTGCTCAATAGATACAATTGATTAGTATCTTTTTAACAATTAAACATTCCCTTATATTGCGGATTCAAAGTAATTTTCTGTTACTATATATTAAATGATTGAAAGGTAAAAATAATAGGCAATGTTTTCTTATTTAATCATTAGTATTTGATTTATTGATCGATTAATTCGGATCGGATGTTGTAAGACTCATTTATAGAAACAACCCTCCTAATCCAATTTACTTAACTCACAATATCAGGGTTCAAACCCTTAACCTATAAAGCACTAGGACGATAAAGGAACTCCGTTTCAAGTAACCAGTAAGTCTTTGGTATAGGGACGATATGGGGACGGTTGGGGTACGTATCGGGAATGTGCCACGGTGGCAGGATACGGCTGAACGAACTCAGGGACGTTCGATGCTTACTTGGGGACATTTGGAGTACGTCCGAGGGGTAATTTTTCCCTTAACCTTAATGGATCTAGTACTTATGTTAACAGGAGAAATGGAGTTGTGACAAATTTTGACGATTCACCTCTTTTTATCCAATTTGGATAGAAAATAATAATCCATTGAGAGAAAGAACAGACTGAAGATTACGATGAAACTAAGTCCTGATGTATATTCCTTGGCAGAAACAAAGTTCATAGAAAATACACTTGGCTAAGCCAAATACAAATACTTCAAATGATTAAAAGTTCCAATAGCAGTTACGACGAGTGATCGATTGATTCCGGATCACCAGCTTTCATCGTGTCCTCCTTGAACGAGCTGCGGTGAAGTTGCCGTGTGAAACTGCTCGTCGTGTCCAAGAAATAGAGAAGACATGACAGGAAGCAGCAGCAGGAAAACAAGGGTATGGGGCCAAAGATCCAAAGCAGTAGGGGGAAGGATAAGTAGAATGCTCTCAGTCCAAGTGACCAGAAGTAACTTGCTCTATTCAAGTTTCTTGCAACATACTCAACGGACTCCATGCTGCCTGCCGACGAAGGCACGGTGACCAAGAAGCTAACGTGGGCGTAGTATCGAATCGACTGCACGTTGCAGAGAAAGGCGACAAGGAAACACAGCAAGATGGAAAAATACTTGATTGAAGAGAGTAGAGGACTCTTGTTGCCATAAACTATTTTCGAGGCTGAGTTGCCGGTGTCCGAGCTGCTGCTTACGAAAACACTTATCAGCGAACTAAGTGTGATCGCTACCGTCGCCAAAAGTGTCGATGCCATTATGTTGTTTCGTATTGTTTGTACCGCTAAAACACCATTTTTCAAGGGATCCTGAAACATCAATTTCATGCTCAGGACATGCACCATTCCAAAACAACAGACAAGTGCCTATGGAAAAGTTCTCATTATGCTGCATTTTGGTTATTACAAAAACTCAGACCAGACAAGGATGCCACATTCTTACAAAAAGATCAACATGCCATAATCATAAAGCTCATTAGATAAACCACACAAAAGGCATGTCTTGATCGGAAGCTGTCTGTTAAATACAACTCTATACAGTGGTCCAATTTGTCTATAGCTTATTTTTTTTAAACGGTATACACCTAAAAAGTATAACGGAGAAAACATTAGGCATCTATTTATAACAAAATATTCTTTAGACACCAAAAGTTAATTTGAAATATAATTTAGGCACCGGAAAGTACCTCATAAAAATAAACTCTATAGGGGCTTCTGTTTATATCATAAAGCAACAAACCTCAATATATTCTAGCCAGCATAGTAGAATTAGTTATCCAGTAATAATGTAAACAGAACAACTACAGCATTTTTATAATGAAGATATGTATTTGCAATCACTTTCGAAATTTTCAAATACTCGAAATTTAATTATTTTCTTTACATTTCTATTGATAATATGTTTTCCCTTCTAAAATTTTATTGGTCACAATCATAGATATTCAAATCCCGCAATATCAATATCCAGTGCAGAAATGAAGGCAGAATTTTATGTTAGAGTACGACTTCTAACATTTTAAAAGGATAAACTTATAAAATTTTAGGAACCAAAATAAATCATCAATAACAAAAACAAATAAAATATGGATAAACTATGTATTTAATACTCAAATTATCAATTTTAGTATGTTTTAGTATCTAAACTTTTAATTTTTCAAAACTATAGCTAATATTTAGTTTTCATTTCATTTTAATACCCGTCGTTAAAAATTTAACGTATTTAGTGTTTAATCTATCAGTTTTAATCCGTTTCAGTACTTCAACTTTTATTTTTTTCAAAATATAAGGTTAAATTGTGAACGAGTATTAAAATGAAATAAAAATTAAACTTTAGATATAATTTTAAAAATTTTAAAATTTAAATACTAAAACATATCAAAACTGATAACTTATATAGTAATAACATGATTTATCCATAAAATATCTAAAATATATACTAATTTTAAATTTTAAAGAAGACTGTATGAACTCTCTTCGATCGATCCCTAATCTCATGTCATGTTTTCATTCATAGCTAGAGGAATCCAAAAACTTTTTTTTTTTTTTAAAAGAATATAACAAAAAAGTAATAGCAATTCAGCCCAAAAACTGGGGAAATTTGCAGAAATTGAGGAAGAGAGTAGAGAGAGAGATGAACTGACAGACATCATGGAGAAAACCCACTTGTGTCGAGACTCGGCGTTTATGCCGATGACAGTTCTTGTCGGATGCTTGAGAACGGTACGAAGAAGCCAAACATGGTAGAGAGCAAGTAGGATCAGCCCTAATGGAACCAGAAACAAGTCTAACTTGTCTTCTTCCATAGTTATCAGCTTCTGTTCTTTTTTCTGTCGTTTTCAATCTCCTGTCAGATTAGATCACGCAGTTCAACTGTTACAGCTGTACACGAGCAGACCAAATGGAAGACAGAGCAATTTTAATGACAGCAATTAACTAGAAGATGCGACCATTGATTGAAAAGGAATAAAGTGGATTATAAATAGGTAATTTACATAAATAGTTCCTTTATTTTAAGGGACAATTACATATTTAGTATCTAAATTAGTATTAGTTTTGGTCAGTTAAATCTCTAAACTTTTATTTTTTTAAATTATTTCCGGTATTTAATTTTTGTTTTATTTTAGTCACTGTATCTTTATAGGTAAATAATATCATTCACTACTCATTATCTTCTCACTCCTAATTTAGTAAACTTTAAAAATTATCAATTTAACCACTCAACTTTCAAATTGCTCGTATTTTAATCACTCTTATTTATTTTATTAATAATTTCTATGACATGATATTTTTATTATTATTTTATTAATATATACTTAAAAATAAAAAAAATAAAATTGAAAGTTAGAGTGATTAAATTATGAGTAATTTGAAAGTTAAGTAATCAAATTAAAAAATAAACTTTAGTAAACAAAATAGGAGTGAGAATATAATTGACTGATGAATGATGCAATTTACCCATAGAAAATTGTCACATGCAAATCACTCGATAAGTTTTTAACAGTGAGCTACTAAAATAAAACAAAAATTAAACGTTAAATATGATTTTGAAAAAATTAAAAGTTTAAGTACAAACAGACCAAAACTGTTATTTTAGATACTAAATGCGTAATTTATTCTTATTTTAATTATTCAAGAAGATTACCTAAAACACATTAATTATGAAAATAACACTTATTTTCTGATACAGGATGGTGCCTTTGCCTTAATTGGTATTTTTCAAATTTTTTTTGCATTCTTGAAACTAGGTCTGTAAATGAACTGAACGTTCAGCGAACCGTTCATGAGTCGTGTGGCGGGAAGTTCATTTATGTTCGTTTATTTATTAAATGAACGAACATGAACAAGATTTTGTGTTTATTCACCCCTTTTGACACATTTTCTGTTGATCGATTCGAACTTCGTAAATCCTAACACCCCGATTTAACCACCTAAACATTCGATGGGACAATTATTTCCCCAAAATTGGAAAGAACTTGGGCTGGCTCCTGATTCGAATCCACTATCTGGTTGGTGATATCCTCTAAAGGTACCGAACTCGACGATGGCAGGCTATTCTTTTGCATGATCCAAATGGCTTTCAATGGTACAACCACGAAACCGCTACCCGTTCGAGGGACAGACTATCCCTGAAATTTCTCCTTACCCTTCACAGTTGACTCAAATTGAACTTGGGTAGCAGGAGCGACATTCTCTTTCTCTCCTTCCACACCCCTCGACTTTAAAACATCAAACATAGATTTGGAAATATTTTCATGACCACTTTCCGGCTTATCGACAATCTTCCAAGGCCGACGTTTACGGTCAGCAGCCATCATCCGTGGACCAAATGGGCCATCACCCGAAAGATTAGGATCCACGGGTGCTATCATCACAGAAGTCGTGGAATCAGAGGGTTCTGCACCAGAGCTTACTCAGATCAACCACAACTGCTAAACATGCAAACTTACCACGCTCCCCTATTCTCATGCTATATTCAACCTTAACCACTATCAATTTCCGAAGCCAAGGCGCCAAAAAGAGCTTTAGAATAATACCTGTATGGGAGTCCTGGGAGGCGAATCCAAGCTATGATTTGAGACGGATAATCTTTCGAGGTGTTGAACGAACGGCTCAAGGGTTGAACAGTCAAACAGCTACCAAAAATAACCCCCAGGCCATCGGATATAACCTTCACATAATCATCCTTGTTTTCCAGGCGTACAAGGTAATAATCATTGTCCAAGTCAACCATTTGAAAACTTCCTTGTGGCTGCCAGAGAGCTTTAATCTTATTCCATAGTACTTTGTACCCAATAGACCTCCCAAGAAGGCGAATGATAACCGACATCCTCGTATTATGATTGATCGACTCATGAACCCTATCCGAGAATTATACGAGCCACTTCTATCTACACTTACGTAATAAGATATTATAGTAATAATGATATTATTTTTTTAAATAAATTATTAATATTTATCTATTATTTTTATAATATAATATTATTAAATTATTAACAATAAATAATATTAATTTATATATTTAATATTAATATAATAACTTAGTATTATGTTAGTAAAATACTAATAATTAAAATTAAGAGTTTTCAAATGATTCATTCAACCGCCTATCAAATTGAAATACTATTAACTGAATAAATCAAACTTTTTTTTAATCGTTAATTGAATCAATTTTTTTAAAAAATATTAAACGAACATAACTTTATTTATTTTATGTAAATCATTTCTATAAAATTAATTATAATGTATCAAACAATTAGTGAAAATGATTTACACATTATCATCAAAACATCGTAAAATAATTTCCGAAAACTATTTTTCAAAAAATGTAATTCATTTTAAGTAAAACAATTTTTGATAATTCATGTTACGTAAAACAGTTTTCAAATAATTTATTTTACGTAAAACAGTTTTCAAGTAATCCATTTTACGTAAATTATTCTCTAGAAAACCAATTGCAGTCTACCAAACAGACCCAAAATGATAATTGAGATACTAAACGCACTTACTAATAAAAGATTATATCGGCGATGCTATGCCGCAAAAGACGCATCAATATCTCCAAACAGCACAGAGACAATGCAGTGGAAGTAGAATTATCATCAAATCAGAGGGAATTGGGACAATGCAAAGTGCAGCAGCCAACACCCAAAACCATTTCACAAAGCTAAACCTAAATGAAGTAACATAACCCATCCCCATGTACAACATGATCAAATCCAGTAATGAAGGTCACCCCCACAGTAGGATGCATTTTTCAAAATTACACCCTTCATACTGTTGATTCAAATTCAATTACCACTTTAAAATGAGGGCAAGGAATTTAAATATAAATACTCTAACCAAACAAAATCAAACACACCTTTCGATGCACTTTGCCGGCATGCGAAGGGGAGAGTGAACTACATCAAATGGATAAACCCAACTCTGCGTAGGTAAAAAACATACAGTTCCTTCCCCAGTCAGGGCGAAATGAGGCAACAAATGTGGATGCAATTCAAGCTGATATGGGATCGTACGGGTATGATAGCCACTGGTGCTTCACAGCCTCTGATGCCAAAGGCCGCTTCTTTGGGTTTACTTCAAGCAAATGAGTGACGAAATCAATGAAACCCTGGTCCCCCATTGGCAATCGATGCCTCAACGATGTCTTCTTGGGTATCAGATATTCTAGTCTGTTCGTCTCCTGAGATATTGGTAAATACACGTCACTTTTAATCCAAATGCTTAAGCACAAAAACAACATTCAAGCTGTAGTCTCACTGCAATGGGGAAGTAATGCCTAGAATAAAGTACTTTTAACCAGCAAGTGATACGGAAATATATACCTGATTACGTTCATAAAGCATGTGGTTCTTGGAAAAGTATTTGTACGTATCCCGTCCTTTTGCAAGCATGCCTTGCTCAATGGGACCTATGATTCCAATTACTCTTGCTAGTAATGTCGCAGGTGAATCATTTTGGAACAGGACCTACACCATATTCAAATCAAATTGTTCCTAACATTAGTAGACAGGTTTTGCAATAAATCAATAAATTAGTAATGGTAATGATCAATAAACTGAACCATGTAGTCAAATAGTTCTTTTTCTATTAAAGTTTCAAAACCAGTCAATTCAAACACAAATCAGGTCCAGTCAAGTAGTTCTTTTTCCATTGAATTTAATGATTTGTTCAAATGCACAATATTCCTTTTTTTTTTGGTTTATACTACTATTTTCTGCAAAGAAATAAAAGAAACAATGAAAAATATTTCAAGTCTAATAAAACCATTATTAATAAGAAAATACTAATTAGAGTCCAAAGAATACCAGTACTTACATTGCCAGTACAGAGTTCTGCCAAGATGCATCCAAGTGACCAAATATCTATCTTCTTATCATATGGAAGTCCTAGGATAACCTCAGGAGCACGATAGGACCTGGATTGAACATAGGAGCATAAATGATCTGTCTCGAAACAACTGCTCCCAAGATCAATGACCTTCACCTCACATCTACTATAGCTTTTTATTAATATATTTTCAGGCTTCAGGTCACAATGTATTAGACCAAGGCCGTGCAAAAACTGGAGAGCCTCCAAACACTGAATGGAAATAGACTGCAAAGAAGAATTTTAAGAGAGGGTCAAATGACAGTAAGACAGATTAGATGCTCTTCTGAAGATAACAGCTTTCCAAACCTGCAATCTTGGCATTGTGAAGTAAACTTCTCCACCCGATTCCCTATTAAATTTATGAAATTCATATAAATTTGCCTTGAGAAGTTCACAGACTATTAGCAAATGCTCCTGGAAAATAAAGAACAGTCAGCTGCTACTAAATTCACAAGCATTCTTGTTCGTATACAAGACACTAAGATGCATTAGCCCAAAGATAAAAATTTTCACCAACAGAGAAGCATTTATAGATTTGTTGGGAAAAAAAAAACACTCCAGCATTAACTGTATGTATCAATATAAACATGCAAGAAATAGGACTAGAGCACAAATACAACGAACTAGAAAACATCTAACCAATGGTAAAAGAACATAAAATGATAAGAAAAGGAAACATCCAGTATCTAGGAACATTAAGAAGCATGAACAAGGAATAAGACGGTTATTGGACAGCATTCACTTACTCTGTAGTAGAAGTAATCATACAATCGGAGAATGTGATGCTTGTCAGCTGGATCATGTTTGTTAACATACTTGAGAAGCTTAATTTCATCAAGGCTTTGGTCAAAAAAATCCTTCTGTGGACACCCGTTTTTGTCCGGGTTTTTTTCCGTTATTTTATTATTATTATTATTATTATCGTTATCTTATTATTTTATTATTATTTATTATTACATATTTTTTTTGCAGGCCAAAGCCCAATACAACAAGGCCCAACCTAGGCTTAACCCGAGCCCATCACACGAGCCCAACAAAAATTAGGGTTTCAAAACCCTAAATATTTAGCCGCCGCCGCCGCTTCTGTTGGACTTCCAGCCGCGCCGCCGTCACTGTTCCGGCCCACTCCGATGGTCCAGCCGCCGTTCCCGCGCCACCATCGTCATCTACAGTGAAAAATCAGAAAACAAATCAACCCCAAGTTATCATCTACAGTGCACCAACTCCCCAAATTTTAAAACCCCCAAATAAAATATAACCTAAATCCCGATATTTACGGGATTTAATCCTGCAAAATCAATGAGACTCATACCCCTATTCTAGATATCATCATCATCTCACCCAACAAACAAAAAAAAGTACATGCAGCAACAAAAAGGAGGGGGAGGGGGCATTCGAAAAAAAAGAGAGAGAAGAAAGAGGAGACCATTCGGGTTCATGAAAAAGAAAGAGAAAACATAAAAAAAAAGAGAAGATAGGAAAAAGAGGAGAGAATAGAGACCATACCTTGGTCGAACACCGATGAAAACCGGTCGCCGGAGATGGAGAAACCGAAAGGTTTCTCCCCTAATCCACTGTGATTGAGCCACTTTTAGGCCAAACGGAGGCCAGATCCTTGCTCAGGGTCTGGAGACGCTTTGAATAGTGTCGTTTTCTCTCCCTTCGGCGCCGGCGTACGGCGGCGACCGTCGGTCAGTGGCGGCCGGCACGGCGGAATCTCGCCGTTTCCAGAGAGATTTCTAGATATCTCTCTCTCACTCTCTCCTCTTCTCTCTCTTTCCCTTTCTCATGTTGAAGGGAAAATGAAGCAGATGGCCGGTTCAAGGAGATATTTGGGCTATTTATAGCTTGTGGGAAACGGCGTCGTTTTGAGGGGACGAGTTCTGTAATTTCACGCATGGGGTAACTACGCTTTTGGTCCCTGATGCTTTGTAACCGTATTATTTAGCCATTAAATGAAGTTTCATTTATTTGATTTCAGATTCTGATGTTTCCTTATTTATATTTTAGTCCTTTTATTATTTGTTAAGTTATTTTTGTTAATATTTGACATTGGTCACTATATTTGTGAATATTTTATTTTAGCCATTGGCTTGTGTATGGCTTATTTCCTATTTAGTCTTTTAGGTTTCAGTTTTCTATTTGAGTCTCCTTTTATTTCTTGTTATATTTTCGTCCTAACATATGTGTTGATGTTTATGACAATTTTATATATCAAGCCTGGAATTTGTGAAATGTTTATTTCAGTCCTTAAATTTTCTGTAATGTTAGTTTGGTTTTATGCCTATTCAGGTTTATTGATTTGTGATTAATTTTATTTGATCATTGTATGTATATTAATGGAATTTATTAACATTTATGTTTTAGTCTTTAAACTGGGTTGCCTTCTATTTTAGTCCATCTTTGTTCTTAGTTTTTATTTTCGGTGAGGTTTATGATTTTGGTTATCTGTTTTGTATCCTTTTCATTTCGGTCCTTTATGTTGGCTTGTGGGTTCGATTGGGATTAATATTTGATTTAGGCTTAAATTTTCTTTTAGGTTCATTTTAGTCACTATCCTAGGTATTATAACATTTTTGGTTTATATTTGGTTCTGGTTTCAATATTTTTAAATGTTACATCTTAGCCACTGATTTAATATTTCATGTATGTTTCTTTGATATTCGAATCTGGCCATCCCATTTTTAAATATTTTATTTTAGTCCTATTAATGTATGTTATGTCATTTTTGTGAATATTTGACTTTTAGACATTATGTTTGTAATAGTTTCAGTCTAGTCCTAAGTTCTTGTATTGTGATATTTTGTGGATGTTTGAATTCAGCCATCATACTTGCAAATGTTCTATTTTGGTCACTGTCTGACATTTTATCTAATTACTATTTGATCCTCCATGTTTCTGTGAAATTTCAATTTAGTCATAAGCTTTACTTTTGGGTTATTTTCACTTCTAGTATTTGACTGTTTAATGTTTGTGATGTGGGCTCTAAATTATTTTATTTTTTATTTAGTCCTTTAAATTTCGGTTAGTGTTTTTTTTGGTCCATTAACTTTCTGTTTTTGCTGTTTAGCCTCCTAAGTTTCTGTTTATATTATTTTAGCCTCTTAAATGTTTTATATTAATTTTGGTTTGTAATATTTACTAATTTATTTTTAGACATTTATGTATGGATGTGTATTTTACTCATTACTTAATTATTTGGATTATGTAAATAATGTTTTCAATTTCATTTAATGTAAATATTTTATTTTTGTATTTCCAATTACATTTATTTCATTATATCTTTATCTATGTAAGAAATATTCGATTATATTTTCAAGAACACGTATGCGTAGAATGGGCGTGGAAAGTACCACTTGATCGAAGTGGTGTGATCCGGTACGGCATTTTAACGACATAGAAACTTGAAATAAGTCGAGTATATTTTGCTAATTAATTTGTTCAAACGATGCAATGTGTGTATTTTAAGTGACAATTTATTTTATTTTATGTGAATGTAAATTTCAAATTTTTTAATTTGTATTCAATTCACGTTTTTAGTTAATCAATTTACCCGTATGTAAACATCGTTTTTAGTTATATTTGATTCGCAATTTTTTACATAATCAATGGTAGAATATTCTTTACAAAAGAGAACTAGTTGAAATAGCTTTCCCGACGGAGGATTGCAAATTTCAAGATTTCTTATCGAGTTAAAGGATTTTCTTTAAATAGTTAACTCGAAGTAAATTAATTAAATTTCAATAAATGGATCGTAATTTAACTTTATATTCGATTTATAGTTTCCACCATTTACGACAACATGTAAGCGACACAGTACCAGTTTTTGGGCGTTGTGGGGTGCTTACCCTTCCCCGCACGTAATCGACTCCCGAATCCATTTAAATGAATCTTTGGTAACGCAGACCGAATCTTGTCTTAAAAATGATTTTTCTTAAAATTGTTTTAAAAGACGTTTTTAGGTATTCGACCTACCTAACCCAAAGGTGATGGCGACTCTTTTTAATTTTATTCAAATCAATGCAAAATCACCCATTTTTCCAAATTAAAGTCATAATTGTTTTTAAAAATAATATTTAATTGTTTTAAAAAAAAATGGTTATGACAGCTTGGCGACTCCGCTGGGGAGTTTTTTTAGAGAGTCAAGCTGTATGTCGCTTACACATTGTCGTCTTGGTGGAAATTATGATTTCTAGTACATAGTTAACTTATGATCCGTTTATTGAAATTTTTAATTGCTTCGTTTTTGGCATACTAACATTTTATTTTTGGCTTTCAGCTTTATCAAGATTTTCATCTTTTCCGTGTTTTGTTTTCCTTTTGGGTCGAAGGTAGGTATGTTCCTCCTCACACATCACTCGCATTGGCATAACATAAGCTCTAGACACGAGCTTCGATCCAAATTAGTTGAGGTGAATGCTTTACTCTCGTAAGAATTTATTCTTCGTATGAGTTTTAGCAATTAACTCGTGGGATACATACCTTATACCTTCGTAGGGATTTATTCCTCGTATGGGTATAAGGCAGTGAATCCCCTCGAATTGAACTCGTTCCGCTCGAAACCTGTAATGGGTGAGGACGAGGGTCTGGTAGCCCAAGGGGGCACCGACATCAAGGACAATTCGAGTACCCTTTTTCCCGTTAGAGCCGAAACCAAGCATATAGTGAACCGTCGAACGATCACCCTAGGTATAATCATACTGAACCTTTGTCCGTCAGTAGTTACCCAAAATAGGTGTACACGAAGGAGGAACGATTCTAAACCTTAACCTTTTAAATTTGTAGAATATTTTTTTTCCGAATAAAGCATGCGAACTAGATACCATGCGGTTAGGACCAATTTCTTGAAAATAGATCATTTTGGGTAGATAACATGTACGGGTAGGACTATTATCTATTTAAAGCATGCTCGGGTAGATATCATGATGGGTAGGTGTTATATTCATCTTTTAATAACACTTTTATCTACATTGATTGTCTACCTGTACTAACTAATTTCTTTTATTTTCTTTGTGTGCACTAACTTATTTATTTTATGATGTTTTTGTTTTTTTTCATTCTTCTTTACATTGCATCATCATAACATAATGCGAAAATGTTGATCAGCAAGGGGATATTCGAGAGAAAATTTTCACAATAAGAGATAAAAGTTTTCAACCAAGCAGTCGCGTACACAGACATGCACCGAAGGCTAAAAAGAAATGCACAGAGTACGAGAAGGAGACTTGCTCAAGACGATCGTGAAACGTTCGAGACTAAAATGATGAGCCACTGATCCGATGAGTGATCCAGCAGTCGATTTTTATCTACGATCATTTCATCGCTATTCATCAAGGAGCGGCACACTGACTTCCGCACCACTGGGGCATTAACAGAGTTAGGTTACAGAATGTTTTAGGGGCATCAGTTCCAAATACAAAGATCCGAGACAAAGCAGTGAGCTCGAAGATCGTGCAACATTTAAGACTGAAGTCTGGGGATTAATCCAGCAGTAGATTATTTACGATCGTTCCGATGTTATTCATCGAAGAGTGATGCACTGACTTCAGCATCGCCGGGGCATTAAAAGAGTTTGTTTACAGAGCGCTTGAGGGGCATCATTATTGAGGACGAAGATCCGATATGAAGCAGTGACCCATTTCAGACTCAGCATCTAAGCGAAGGCATGTCTGTAAAGTGGACTGTCTTGTAATGTGAAACCTTTATTTCTGGTGAAAATTGTTCTACGATATTCATCGTTGGGATCAATATTTTTGCATCTGCATTGCATCTTTGCATTTTGCATCTGTATTTTATTTTTATGCATTTTCATATGTATTAATTAGCAGAGGATTCGATGAAGTGGTCCTAGCCACATTGAGAATAGAAGTAAGAAGCTGAAATCAGCACGATGGAAACTTGTTCAGCTTGTCGTAGGGTTGAACCTTCCAGGATGATCTGAGAAAATAGTCCTCATATCCTGAGATATATGATGTTAAAGTTATATAGGAAGCTCCAGACATTCCACTGAGAACTGCAAGACACTAAAGCACAAAATCCATAATATGATTTATTCAGGGGTATCCTAATACTAAGCCAGAGAAGTCATTGCATCAACCACTTGCATCCATAGAGATTGTTTTGTTTGAACTCGTTTTTGTTCTTTCTTCAATATTTGCTTAAATATTTTAATCTTTGATGACTGAAATGATGCTACCTTCTAAGGTTAAATAATTGAACAAATTTTAATCTTTAGTTCTTTGAATATCGAATGAATTACATATTCTTTTAATTCTTCAAGAATTATAGATTTTTGACATACGCCAAGATTGGACCTATCTTATCCCGTCTAAACCCAAAATAAAATCTCTCGATTTTTTTACCGGAAATAATTCCTGGTCAATACCAAATAACCAATTTTTGACATTCTATCTCTTTGAGACCTTGAAACATTCTTTCCACCTTGAAACACTGCATTTTTTTTTTTGACACAAAAGTCATACCCATACCTTTCTTTGAGTCAATAAAGTCACAATCGTCTTCTTAGACGTAAAACCAACATTTTTCTACCAATAAAACCTACAGACATTGAGTACAAGATGTTCACTTGAACATAAACCTTCCTACAAAGAAGACACAGTGTGGGGCATCTCGCATCAATTTTCTGAAGACGAGCATGAGCAATTGAGACATGTTGAGAGCAAGAAGCGAAGAGAAAAAAATAGAATTCATTCAAAATAATGCTATCATGCATTAATTACATTTTTTTTCATGTGAATAAACAATTAATCTTGAAAATCTATCCCCCTAGGGATACCTCTTCTGCAAGGACTTCTGTGTATGAGATGATGAACGGCTTTCTTTCTTTATCCCTTCACAAAAGGAGAAAATATATCCCTTGTGTCCCCTTTGAGCCTGAA